CGTTCATTACTGACCAGGTGCTCTACTACTACAAAGTAATGCCATTCAGACTAAAGAACGTCGGAGCAACCTACCACATGGTCAACAAAATGTTTGCCGACCAGATAGGTCGGAACATGGAAGTATACGTAGACGACATGCTAGTGAAAAGCAAGAAGACGACCTTCCACATTGCCGACCTGACGGAAACGTTCGAGATCCTCCGAAAGTACCAGATGAGGCTCAATCTAGAAAAGTGCGCGTTTGGGGTCTCATCTGGAAATTTCTTAGGGTTCATGGTTAACGAGTGCGAAATAGAAGCGAACCTCGAGAAAATCCGAACTGTATTAGATATGCAGTCGCCTCAAAACTTAAAGCAGCTTCAATGCCTCAACGGAAAGATCGCCGTGCTAAAACCATTCGTGTCGCGATCTACGGATAAGTGCTTGTCGTTCTTTAAGGTGCTATGAAAGAGAGATTGCTTCAAGTGGACCCCAGAGTGTCAAGGGGCCTTTGACGAACTCAAGAGCTATCTGAGCTCGACGTCACTGTTATCGAAACCGCTGCTTGGTGAAGAGCTCACACTATACTAGCAGTGTTTGCAAGTGCAGTGAGCTCGACAGTGGTAAGGTAGGACGATGGTCGGCAGAGCCCCATGTACTACACGAGCAAGTCCATGACCGACGCCGAGACTCGCTATCCGTAGGTGGAGAAGTTGACGCTGGCACTAACTGTGGCTACGCRACGTCTCCGACCTTACTTCCAAGCTCACAGGGTGAAGGTTCTCACTAACTCCCCCCTGAAACAGTTCTTCCAGAAGCCCGAAACCTCAGGGAGACTCATGAAGTGGGCTCTCGAGCTAAGTGAGTACGACATAAGCTTCGAGTCAAGGGTTGCGATGAAGGGTCAAGTCGTGGCTGACTTCATAGCTGAGCTCACTCCACTACCCAGCTCGGTGGGAGAAAGTCCGAACAAGTGGGTCCTCAACGTCGATGGCTCTTCGAACGAGAAAGGTAGTGGGACTGGAGTTCTTCTTCAGGCACCTAGTGGAGATCGGTTTGAATACGCAGTAAGATTCAACTTCCCAACCTCAAACAATGAGACCGAGTACGAAACCCTGGTAGCAGGCTTACGTATGGCTGAAACCATGGGAGCCACACATTTGGACATAAGGAGCGACTCGCATCTCATAGTTAACCAAATTACCGAGGAATATCAGGTCAGAGACAACAGGATGGAGAAATACCTACACAAGGTACGCGAGTTGTTGTCTCGGTTCCTAGGGTACACCATAGAACGGTTACCGCGTGCGGGAAACACTAACACAGATGTCTTGGCAAAGCTGGCATCCTCTTACCAAACCGAGCTGTCTAGGTCGGTCTCAGTCGAAATCTTGGACGCCCCCTCTGTTTAAGAGCTGGAGGCAATGAATGTTGAAGCTACGATGTCGACCTAGATGGACCATATAAAAGCCTTCCTCCGAGGAGAAGAACTCCTTAGAAGGACGTTCACAATGATCCAACGAAGGGCATATTGAAGCCTAAACTAAACCCCTATCTCACAACGTGTCGGCATGACCTACGAAATAGTCCTTTGACAAGTTAGATTCCAAACTTAGGAAAGTGGGGGCAAATGTTGGGGACAAAAATATGACCTACCAAGTGGCGAGATCATATACGGCCAACCTCATCAGCTCATCTACGACCAAGTTTTTAAGTCCATCTAGGAAAAGCTCTTAAGCTCATCTACAAAAGAGCTCCTAAGCTCATCCACAGAAGATATCCT